AATGTTTGGTATTGGTTAATGATTAGATGGACAATGTTTGGTATTGGTTAATGATTAGATGGACAATGTTTGGTATTGGTTAATGATTAGATGGATAATGTTTGGTATTGGCTAATGATTAGATGGTCAATGTTTGGTATTGGTTAATGATTAGATGGATAATGTTTGGTATTGGCTAATGATTAGATGGTCAATGTTTGGTATTGGTATATCACAAACAATTTGGATTTATGTTAGTTCTCATTACGTAATATAAAAAAATATTAAAAAATACATTACAAAAATAGTTTATAAATACTTTCAATATCCTGCAGATATTTCATTGTATTATTAGAAATAATATTTTTATTTAAAAAATAATCACATAAAATTGCAACTTTCCTGACTTTCGATCAGTTTCAAAGTTGACTAGTTTTTGTGTGAGGTTAGCTAGGCTTTTCCAAGAAACTTACTGTATTTACCACATGGAAGTTCTAAATAAGAGGTATTTCTAATTGTTTCTTCTAATACTGTGCTCCGTGTCTCCTGAAGTGTTCCTTTGGCTGTTAGGGTAGACACATGCAACCCTTGTTGTTATGGCAGTCATGTGTCAAGTTTTACACATCAATTTGAAATTAGGCGGAAACACTTTTGGAAAATGACCACTTATTTTTTTAGTTCACGGTCAAGAATGCAAAAAAAAATATTGTAAATTGCTACATACAACGAACTATAAATGTAATTTTTTTTATTTTACACAATCACACAATTTATCTTCAGTTCAGTAATATCTTACATTGAAATCCCCACAGAAAACTAGCAAGTGGTTTTATAAAACAACTTATAATGTAGTTATTAATATTCTTGTATTTTGAAATGGTTGTATACAAGTCTTGGGATTTTCATCATGTTTGATATAATTGTAATTATGTGTTGTTTTCCAAGTTTTATTAGTTCTCAAGAAATGCAGTTTTATATATATCTCTGTACAATTGATCTTCCTTTGTCTATCTATGATATTGTTGGTTTCCAGTGGTTCACTACTAATTAGACAATGTAGTTGTAACTTGCCTCAGGCAGATTACTTAACCTAATGGTGTGAAGAATGGGACATTTCCAATTAGATCCCAGCCATAGGGGTAATAGCTTTCCTGTAATATGTAAAATTAAACCGATATCACAAATCACAATGATCTCACTATGCAGACAAAGTTGGTATTTTTACATACGTAATTATATATACAATATAAAAAATTGGTAATTTTTATTGCACGAGTGCAATGTATGAATGAAAGTGGCATGTATGAATACCACTAAGAAGGAACTGTGAACATAGGCTTCATTTTCTACATGGTAAAAAACTTTGTTGCATAATGGCTTACCCGGCAATACCTTTCATGCGCAATGTATTTTACACTAACTTTCTTCACTTGAAACATTTTAAATATATATATTATAAGGTCCATCTCAAAATATAGGTTTATTATATTTACAACAGTGTCTGGACAGCATTTTCTGAAGTTGTGTAGGCTCACATATCGCTGAACTAAACATAAGAAAATAATTCAGGTTTATATTTTTACTTCATTTATTTTCAGTAAATTTGGAAAGAGAATTCAGATCCAATACTATAAATTTAGTTTTACTATATAATATTTAATTTGCATGTGAGGTATATCTATCATAAAGAACAATACACACTAAAAAGATTATTCTATAAAACAACCCAAACTTACACTTCAGCTAATACAGATCATACTGTTATGAAATCAAGAATACTAAATATTACTAAACAATTCTCTGTAGGTCACTAATAAACTTGAGGATTAGCAACTTGTCTGTGTTGTTATTAGCGGCAATCAGTTTTTATCATTACTAATTTTATATTTCCATTGTTGCTTTGATTGGCTTGTATGCGTTCCTAAATATTAGCTTGACCAATTGTTGAGGAACATTCACTAGAGCATACAAGTTCTAATAGGAAGAATTACTTACATACATGTCACATGAGACCTTATCCATGCAATAGGGATATAACTCCACCTTTACACTGGATCATCGACTAATTGCAATACAATATATTCATGCATTGATGCCATCTATTGGTGTAAATCAGTAATAGTTGGCTCTGAAGGAAAACCTTGATACATATATTTTTTATATTTTCACACGAAGACCAATACTCAACATTAATCTTTAAAATCAATCAGCTAAAACTTGTATTTATATTTTCATAATCATACTGTACAAAAACAAAAAACAAACTAACTAACCACACAAATCAGGGTCTTCATCACTTCCACCAGGACAATCCTCATATCCATCACACACATACTGGGGAAAAATGCACATTCCCTTCCCTATGTTCTTACATGGAAAAAATGCCCCCAAGCAAGTGTTCTTTCCTAAAATAAAATAAACTTTTTTGTTTCATAAAACAAGTGAACAAAAATCCCAGTTCTGAACTTAACTGTTACATTTCAATATGTCACTGATAATTCAATGCATTCTAATCATTGTACATGCATATTACCTATGACTTATGACATTATTTCTTGTCACTTTGTTATGAAGTATTGTCTTTATTAATTAATATAGCTTTTAGTTTGTTCCTATCTATGTATTTGTTTTCATTCAAAGTTTTTAACAAATAAAACTTTTGACATTGTTTTTTGTTGTTGTTTCTTATTAAGCACAAAGTTACACAAAGGGCTATCTGTGATCTGGCCACCACAAGTATTGAAACCCGGTTTCTGGCAGTATAAGTCCGCAGACATGCCACTGTGCCACTTGGGGTCCAAAACTTTTGATTAATATATATTTCAAAGCCATTTCTTTTCTACCTTATCAAGTTCATTTGGTCCATCATTCAGAACTCTTTATATAAGTAAAATCATCTAATGTTAATAAGTCTGAAGGTAATAGTGTTTAATAATAGCTCAGAAGACAAAATGTTCAATACTACACTGCACTCCAAGAAAAATAAGACTAGTTCCAATAATACATAAAATATATAATTCCTTAACTTCATATGATTATTTATATATTCCATGACTTATCTTTCCTTACAGTAAATCTATGTATTATAGACTTGTTGCTACGTAAATTACTGTAATGTTGTATTTGATGTGATTTTTCTTTCAAAGATCAACATATTTGTCAGTACTGTCTTATTTTATTGAAGAGCAGTGCTACTTCAGGGTAAAACATTTATTAACAGCTCGAGAGAGAGAAGGAATGTTTAAAACTCAGTTCAAGAGATAATACAAAATTTAATACCAGTTCAAGAGATAGTACGATGTTTGATACCAGTTCAAGAGATAATACGATGTTTGATACCAGTTCAAGAGATAATACGATGTTTGATACCAGTTCATTCAAGATAATATAATGTTTAATACTAGTTCAAGAGATAATAATGGTTAATAATAATTCAAGAGAATACAATGTATAAATACTAGCTTACAACACAATGTTTGATATTAGATCAAGAGATAATACAATGTTTAATGCCAGTTTAGTACAGGGACATAAACTTCTGTTTTCTCTAGGAGAAAGAGGAGACCAATGAACAATTAGAAAGTTTATCTGGTTTTCTAACAGGAATAACAACATGTTACACTGAGATAGGAATAAGCTTATTCTTGTTGGTAAATCAGATAATAGCTATAAATAGCCATGCCTCTTGCAGAATAACAGTCTTAACCCTTTTGTGATGGGTGGGTCTAACTGCACATATCATTGTCTTTTAGCGAGCTATTTTAAAAATTTAACTAAACTACTTTTTGTTTATGTTACACCAATTAGTATAGCATAACATCATGGCTAATAATCCATATTTTAATAGTATACAAGTTTTAAGTTCTTAATTATGAAAGGCAATATTTAAAAAAAATTCTGAATTTCACCTAGTGTGAGAAATGTGACATTTTCTCTAGACATCCTCTCT